GAGACTTCTTCTACCGGATCCAGAATATGCGCGTAAGGTTTCCCGGGCCACTTTCGGGGGGCAAACCCTGTAGGGCCCCTAGAACCCCAGGTAAGGCCCAGGTGTGGCCTAGGGCATCAGAAGGGACCAAAAGGAGTCCAGTCTGAGCCATAGAGCCCATGTCTTTGCCCCCGAAGGTCGCGTTCAAATGCCCGGAACGGCCGTCTCAGTGGTGTCCGGCCGGCGCGATCACCGAGCTGTGACGCTCAGGGAAGCCTGATGAGGTGCTGGTTTCTTTGGCCAGGGCTGGCCTACGGCCCGTGCTGGATCAGCTGAGCAAGGTTTGGGGAGAATCCTATAGTAGGATCTTCAGATATTTTGACGGATGACCAAAATGGGCAAAAACGGGGTGGTGAGCTGAGAGGCTGGAGAGTCCGCGTGTGACCTTGTCGCGATAAAAGTGCCACGAAGCGCTATTTCCTGCTCTCAGCTCACCACCTCGCCTTCTCTGTCGCTCTCCTGGCCCAGGCCCATCAGTATCAGGTCTGAGCTGTCCCAAACCGCACTTACCTCGGGTCTTCAAGCTCACACCGGCTCGTGATGCCACGGAGAGGGCTCCGAGATTGTCCCCGGTGGACCCCATCCGAGCCGATTGCGAGGGCATTACGGAGGTCATTGTCGGCGCCACCGACCGTGAAATGTCTCGTCCCGCAGCACTCATGCACTAGGCTCATGGATGCAGTCATAATATGTAGGCCTTGTCTCCCGAAGTTTGGAGCAATAGCCGCAAATAGTACTTTTTGGCACTTCATCGCGACACGTCCAGGTGCCGACAAAGCGGCTTCCCAGCTCACCACCTCGCCTTCTCTGTCGCTCTCCTGGCCCAGGCCCATCAGCAGCAAGTCTGAGCCGTCCCAAACCGCACTTATCTTGGGTGATGAAGCTCACTCTGGCTCATACCACGGCTCTGCAGCCTCACACACGCCCGTTTCAGCCACAGACACCGCCGGCACGCACTCCCACTTCACACACGCTCAAGCACAACCCCATCAAAGCACATCCCTGCTCAGAATGGGCAAGGGCTACCACCTGGTGACCCTGGTAGCCTCTGGCTCGCCACTGCACTCGGCTCCTCTGCAGCGGTCTCGGCTCTCGCCACTACAGCATGCCGACGGCAAGCTTTGACGCCCGTCTGGTGGACCTGCTGTGGCCACAGCCGCCCCTGACATGCATCTCGCACCATGACTCGACACCGGGCCCGCTCAGCTTGGTCGTGGCGGCGTGTGTGAAGGATGCGCGGCCGAGCCGCTGGCTGGCGCCGCTTGAGCGTCCGAGATGGCCGCAGCAGAGGCCACGCGTCGCGCCGCCGGCCAAGCCCAGCCTCTCGGCGGTCGAGTTGGTCGAGCTGGCGGGCGGAGAGCCGCCAAGAGGGCAGCAGCGGAGCGTGAGAGGCCGTGCGAGCTTGCGCTAGCGAAGCGCTAGCGCTTCGGGCGATTTCAATAGGCGGCCTACCTTGGCCTTTAAAAAGACGTGGCAGTTGTACGGCGATCTCCGATTCATAGCTCCGCGGACCCCCTCCTGTGGGCCCGACTTCATCGACACGGACCTCTCCCTCTGGAAGGGCTCCCTCCTGCGGCAGCCTCGAGCTGGTGGCGTGCGACGGCGACTCTGGCGGAACGTGCAGCGGCGGTGACTACAGCTCCATCATCGCGGACTCGGGGCCGGTGCTTCGACGCAGCACAGCTGGTGTGTGTGCTTCGTCTACCTCCGTTTCGGCCTGCCTGGCTGCGGCGGCCGTCACTCCCCGACAAATCCGTCGCTTTTCCGTCACTTGGAAGCCGGGAAAGTTCCAAATGACGGTCTTTGGAAACTTCCAAGCAGCAGTCGCTTCGAAGTGACAGCCCCAGTCGACGTGGCATCTCTCTGACGACCGCCGCCTTGGCGACGGGCCAAAGTGACGGATTATGGCGGCCTCAGTCGGTGCGACCTGGCAGGTTCCTGAGGTGCACGTGTTCACGGGCAAGACGACTCGCGCAGATCAAATGACCGGCAGCGACGTGTATAGGTGTACTGGTAGACGGACATGCCTGCGCCAATACAGGGGCCCAGGCCGACGTCATTCTCGATGATTACTGCGGCGAATTGCCTGTCGATCTGCTCCTCACCCTGCTGGACAGGTATGCATATCCCCAATGCCGATGAGTCGTGATCACCTCAAACGCTCCTCCCGAGAGGTGGTATTCAGATCTCGACGACAACACAAAAAGAGCTCTCGTCTGCGCCGCTTAGGCCGTCTAGCCAGTGACCAATCGCTCGGGTACACCCACATCACAACCACGCACACGTGATGCCTCTCATTACGGGTCTGTACCAACCGCGGTCCAGTTGAGTCGGTTGCGTCGCTCAGACGCGTTCACGTGAGCCGTGACTGGTGTGTGGAGCGCACGCGGCCGAAATAGACCGTGTAAGTAAGTGATCAGTAACCAGCCTCCGGCGGGGCCCCACGCTACCATCCAAACCCGAGTACCGGTCTACTATCATAGATAGAGGCTCAAGTGTGTGACATAACGGTCCACACACATACGACATACACATACACAGAGCAACTCTCACGACACACGGGCATTGGGTGGAGCGGCGGCGGCGGCGGCAGCGGCACGCGCGGGCGGACGGATTCGGACGGGGCGGAGCAGCGACCGCCTGGGCGGCCGCTGCTCTGTCTGCCAGAGCGCGCCGTCTGCGCAGCGCCGTCAGGTGCACAGGGAAGCGTGGCGGCGCGGGGACGCGCGGTGGCGGTGGCGAGCAGGCGAGCGGCCCGCGCGCGGCGCGAGAGAAAGTGACGACTCCAAGTCGGCGATGGTGAGCCTGGCCGGCGATGGCAGCGGCCTGCTCAGCGATCTTGGTCTTGGCCACCTCGAAGTCCTGCGAACGATGGGGGCTGCTGTGAGGCGCAAGCTCTCACAGTGACGTCAATCAGCTACGGCAACTACCCTAGGGCGTGGAAAGAGCGTGCGAGCCGCCTTGCGCGGCTCGGGCTGGCCGTCCCCGATGCTGGAATCGCTCGCCGGTGTCGATGCCGGTCGCTTCTTTGACTCAACCGGCGGAGTCTTGGCGTCATTGGTGTTCTGTGGCGCGGGTGCCGACCCGACGCAGGAGCTCGCTCGCTGCTGCTACGGCGGCGGCAGCGACGGCGACTGCCGGCTGCCGGCTCCCGGCCGCCGGCTGCCGGCCGCCGGCTGCCGGCTGCTGCCGGCTGACGGCTGACGGCTGCGGCGAACGGCGACGGCTCGGTTGGGAGAGGAAGAGCAAGGGCGAGAGGGGGCAGGGAACGGGTCGATGGCATACTAGGGGGGGCAGGGTGGTGGGCGGCGACCGCCGCATACCGTCCTATGGCGGCGAGTATCGCTACGCCAGGGAGGACAAGGACGTCGACGTGCGGCTGCTGCTGTTCGAGTCGTTCGGTGGGTTTGGGAAGGGGATCGGCGAGATCCTCTGGGGGGCGGCGAACGTGCTGCAGAACAAGCTGACGCGGGCCCAGTACCTCGATGAGGTGACTTGGACCACCAAGAGCTGGCTGGGGCTGCAGAAGCAGCGCATCTCGGTCGTTCTTCACACGGCCATCGGCATCGCAGAGCAGATTGTGAATGAGCTTGCCAGCGGCGAGGGCGGTCGGGTGCACGGAGCTAAGTGCCTCGCCGTCCTCGCGGGAGTCGCTTAGGCGGCTCCAGTGGTGTACCTGTGTTAGTGCCAGGGCGCGCCAGTCCCGTGCCCAGTGTTGTGCGAGGGAATTTTGTTGTAAAATTCTTTCCCTCGCAGGAGTCGCTTAGGCGGCTCCAGTGGTGTACCTGTGTTAGTGCCAGGGCGCGCCAGTCCCGTGCCCAGTGTTGTGCGAGGGAGCACTTGGAGCACCACTTGGAGCACTTGGAGCACCACTTGGAGCACTTGGAGCACTTGGAGCACTTGGGAGTTGCTTCTAAAATTCTTTGAGAGCGCCTTCGTTGTTAATAATACAAGCCCAATGGTCCCTTTCGAGCGGTCCCCTGTCGCAGTCGCACACACGCACACGCCGCACCGCACCGCGCGCCCGCCCGCTGCCCCGCCCAGGCGGGAAAGAGATGAGGAGATGGGACAGCAAAGGAGGAGGCACAAACACGTATGGGAGGGTTCAGTTGTGCGCCACGCTGCCCGGCGTTTCTCACTTTCCGGGACAGCCCCGCCCTTTTGAGGCAGGAAAGTGGCGGCTACCCCGTACGCCCTGCAGCCTGCTACCCCGACGCCGACCGCCCATCCCCCCCTCTTCGTTCCCCCCTCGAATTCTCCGGACCCCGACAAGCCGCCCGACGTTGGGCCTCTGCCCCGCACGCCCCCGCCCCTTCTGCCCCTCGCTCACACCCCGGCCCGACACGCACATACAAGACAAACCCGGCGTCCTGCTCTCAAAAGAAAAGAAAAAATGGGAAGGAGGAGACCAGCGGGGGAGACTCCCCGCCTATGCAACACCCCAGAGAGGGGCTGCCATCGCCGAAGCTGTGCCTAAGCATAACTCCCAAACCCGCAGCGGCCCGGGGGGCCTTGGTTGGGGGCAGCCTGCCGGACCGTTTGTTGCACGGGGCTAAGCACCAGAAGATGAGTGTAGTTGATGGATCGGGCTGTCGACCGTGCCTCCCCTCTTTTCGCCAGAGTGGGACCTACGCCGCGCCGGGTAGGGGGCGCGCCCGGTCCTCGACGGAGCCGCGCGCCCCAAACGACCCAGGCGGCGAGTAGTCGTCGTCGAACCTTCGGCACGTAGTCGCCCGTGGTCAGCGCCCTTCCTCCCCCGCCCGTCCCTATTCGTATTGCACCCGAGGCGCCCGTGGCATCTCGCTGCCCTTGGAGCACTTGGAGTGCAGTCATTAACCGCACATCCAGGGCCGGGGAGCTCAGAAGCGCACCCAGCGGGCCGGATGATTGGCATCGGGTTGCGGGCAAGAGAGCCCTAGCCCCGGGGGTGCGCGTTCTCAGGGCAAGGGCCTTAAAGTAAACACAGTTCTCCGAGAGGGCTCCGTGTACCGGGTTTCCCCTTAACTGCAGAACGCCCCCTCTACTCGGAGCTAGTGGACACGGACACTACGACACCACCCGTCACGTACACACACGACTGTCTAACTGCCCATCTAAATTCTTTCTTTGAATTCTTTCCCTCAGAGAGGCCTGGGGTGTAAGAATTCTTTGCCTCGGTGAGCCTGTGTGTGTGCCAGTCCGCGCCAGTCCGCGCCCTTGTCGTGCCAGTGTGCTGTGAGAGAGGCTTGTATTTAAGGTGGCAGTCCGGGTTCTGTGAAGAGGGTCGCTCGGGTCGAAAGCGAGCCAGTTCGCTCGCGACGCCGACGCCGACGCCGCCGCCGGAACGACCACGGCGGCCGGTCGAGCGGCCGCCCCGGCCAGCGGCCGTATCGAGCCTGCCCGTCGCGAAGGTGTGGACCTCACGCGCCCCACCGGCCGCCCGCGCCGCCGCGCCCACGTCGCTCTCTCGAAGCCGAGCGCCACGCCGCTACGACTCCCATCGCGACGACTCCCGTGCTCGCTCCTGGCGCAGGCGATCGACTCCTGACACCCATCGAGCGGATGGGCGCGTTCCCGCCGCGACCCGGTACTCTCGAACGACTTTTGAGGGCAAAAGGTGCCGCTCGAGCCCATTCCCGCCGCCCGCCGCCCGAGATCAGCTGCCACCGGCCAGCGCGCGCGCGGAGACCTGCCGCGAGCGCCTCCGTGGCCCTAGCTGGGGTGATTAGCAAGCGCCTCGGCACTTTAGATTCGCCCCTCGGGCTTTTCCGCGCGCGTGATCAGTCTCGCGTTCTCTCCTTTTTCAGGCGCCTGTTTTCGGCCTCTGAAGAGCAACCGTCGAGGCGTCGATGCTCGCCTCCACGCCCGCGCCAGACCTCCGCGATTGGGGCGCCTTGTCGACGGGATCAATTGTGATTCCGGGCGCATTTTTCTGGCATTTAACTCGCACGTCGGCGACTCTTAGTCGCTTCTCCGTGCTAGGAGGCCTCTGTTTTGTGTCCGTGAGGACTAGATCGAAACTAACATTTCGGCACATTTCAGTTAAATACCAGAAAAATGCGCGTTCACTCACAATTCATGTGTATATGAACGGTGCCGACGGGTTTGGCGAGCATCGAAGCCGTCCAGGCGCAGCAACGCGACGGTTTCGGAGGCCGACGGCTCCGAAAGAGCCTCCCGAGCGAGGCCGGCGCGGTCACGGTACCATGGAGGCCACAGACGTCGCCGGAGCGGCACTCCCGGGGCGCCACTCCCTCACCCGGTCAGGGGGGGCCAACCACAGCCCGCCTCACCGTCCGTGGAGCTTCCGTGGTCCGCCGCTTCGGCTTCGATTTTCGACCCTCCCGAGGCTGCTAGAGCAGCCCCGCGGAGCCTCCCGGATGCACCAGCACACCGTCGTCCAGAACGCCGGCGCACGCGCTGCCCAGTGACTGGGCGGGTCGGCCCCGACTAGGGGCGGGCCCAGCCGCGCGGAGAAGACCATCCCACTCGCGGTTCGTCGCACCGTCCGCTCCGGTTTTCGTCTCGAGCGGGTCGTGAGACGGCCCAGGGCTGGTGGACTAACATGAGCACACCTCAGGGGCAGCACTGACTACAGATCGTGCCAACACTTGGCGCAAAGGTCGGTGTTAGCACAGTCGAACGGCAGTCCCAAAACAAGCGTTAGCACAGCCGTTGACACGTGTGGCACACCCTCCGGGTAAACCCGGGTATACCTGCAAAAACCAGGATGTACACAAGGAGCT